CACGCTGACGAGGAATGAGAAAACACAAGCTTTGGCAAAAGCAAATCAAACGAGCAGCATGTGGGGGCTGGCCCTCCACACATCTGAACCAGGGCTGGGGTCCTCCCTCCAGGGCTCAGAGAGCAGCACAGCTACGCTCGAGTCCCATGGCGGCCTGGTCCTGATTCAGCTCAGCCAGGCGCCCGCGAGGCACGGCTGAGCCACGGAAGCACCTGCTTCTAGCAGAAAACAAGCTGTGGTGCCTGAGCTCAACGTGTCCCCCATGACGGTGACCTGCACAGGCTGCTGTCTGTCATCGCTGCGGACACACCCCTTGCCACCACCACTCGGGGACAGAAGCACCACTGAGAGCTCAGTGCCCACATTTCTGCCCTGGTGGGAGGGGGGGAAAGCCCGTCTGCACAGGCCTTTCAGGCAGCTAGCGCCAGCCTTTTTTGCCAACTAACCCAAAACCATGGTCAGCATGGCGCAGAAAACATCTGACCCAGGAAAACTAATTCAGTGCTGCATCCAAATGATTTCAAATCACAACTCTCCCAATAAAACCAAGCACTTCAGAGAATTGTAAAAAGGGGTGACCACCAGCCAAATCGGGTCAAGCCTTCTGATTGTCTTGCCCCAGTGAGTGCGTGCCACGTACCTCCTCTGTGCTCAGCACTGGCTCGCCCCCTTGTCTCCTCTTCTCCCCATGTCAGCTGGGTCAGGGCTGAAAGCAGGTGAGGCTGGCAGCCGGGCCTCCAACAAGAGGCCATCGGTGCAAAGCACGTGGGCTCTCCAGTGCCCCAAACCCTGGTCGGAGGCTGCATGGCCCATGACATGCAGAGGGCCTGCCTAGAAAGGTGATAAGGATCCCACCTGCAGGGGACGGCGGGCCAGCTCAGCACTGGCACTGGCGGGGCTGCTCATGGCTGGGAGAGAGGGTGTCGGGTGGCTAGGCTGTCCTTGGAGGATGGTGGGGGGACCACCCGCTTGGCACAGGCTATACAGGGCGAGTCTCCACGGGCATTATCCACTCCCAGACCCAGGAAGATGGACATGACACTGAGACACCCGGCTGGGCAGGACACGTCACTCCTGCCCCCTCTGGGCAGCACCAAACAGCAGCAAGACCTACTTTGTAACTTTCTGGAACTAGCAGCAGCACCCCCACCCTTAGTCCTCTGTAGGACTCACACCGCTCTGCCAGGGCCCAGCAAGTGCTGTGAGCCAAGGATCAAGGAATGCACGTCTCCATGAAGTAGAAAGACCCCCACGCTGGGTGCAGGCCCTAGCACCACCCCGGGAAACTCAGGTTCCAGCCCTGCCACAGCAGCTGAGAGGCAGCGGCACCGAGGTCCTAAGATCCTATGTCCCCCAAAGTGGGGAGCTGCTGACAGGGAGGGGTCAGTGTTGTTAAAGGGGGTGAAAACCAAGCTTACTCCAGGTCCCCAAAGGAGACACAGCAGAAACAGGAAGGTCCAGGAAAGGCGAACAGGCTGCCTCCCTGAGTCTGAGTTGGCTAGTTTTTCTCAAACTGGGGACCTATGGTCAGCTCAAAGGTGGAGGCAAGTGAGAGCAGGAGCCCTGAGCCACATGGAACAGTGTTGGTCCAGCAACCTGGGTAGCCAGGAAGGGCAAGGAAGTCACAAAAGTTCAACACCAAAACGAGGAGGGAACAAGGTTGTGCTGACCCAACAGAAGGTGGCAGAGCAAGTGGTGGCCACGGCACCACGTCAGGATTTCCCCGTTGTGCCGTACTGTGGCCTCATCACCCCCTAGAGGAGGGTCTTGTAGAAGGTCAGGCCAGTGACCCAGATGGGCATCCCCAGTGCAGCTGAGCCGGCTATGGCAGGAGGCAGATGCTCCCAGAGCCGACACGGAGCCCCAGGCTACCCCACACCCTGTCTGACAGTACAGGGGTCTGCAGGGGAACCAGGGCTGGCCAAAGATGGCCACAGGAACACAGGACATGTGGGCAAGGAGGAAGGCGGTGGGATTCTGGTGTTTTACTTCCTTCTTTGTTACCGTAATGTGTTCTGCTGCCAAGAATGAAAGTTTATTCAAGAGAAGAATGACAGGGAGGTATTTTTAACCGGCTTCTCCCACAAAAAACAGTGCATGTTCCAGCTGTGCACATCTGGAGAATTCAGAAGGTGAAACACCTCACTGCCCTTAGATATGAGATAAATAAACATCACCCTCTCCACGGAGCTCTTTCAACGCTAATTATCAAAGGAAATCAGACGTCCTCTAAGCCAGGCTTACTAGGTCCACATGAAGGCGTTTCCCCGTCTGGCAGGGAACCCTGAAAAACACAAGTGAGCCCCACCAGTGCCTCTCAGTTCTCCACAGAGGCCCCCAGCCTGCGGAGGGCAGGAAGGGGAACAGAGCCCAGGCACCTGGGCAGACTGCAGGTGCTGCAGGCGTAGGGGAATAAAGGGGTGGAGGCCAAGAGCAATTCCAAGAAGGGCTCCTGGCTGAACGCAACATCTCCCTAGACCCTCCCTCCACTGTGTAAAGCGTGACTCCCAGGAACCCTCTCCATGCCCAGAATGCTGGGGTCATGTGCCGGATGGCATCTCCACACTGTGGACTAAGAGAGCACCTCCCGGCACAAAGCCAACACACCTAGAGAAGGAGCGGCCACCTGTCGCCCTTCCCTGGCAGGGTGGCCCCTCTGCTCAGTGAGACCTGACCCCACATCCCACCCGGGAGCACACTCTCCTTGTGGAGTCCAACGCCCCTCCCACAGCCCTGATCTCCCTGCAGCCCTACACCCCACCCTCTTCCGTTCCACACGCCCACCAGCCCCTGGCCCACACCCACGACATCACACAGGCAGCCCCATCAGTCCCTCCAATAGCTCTGCACAAAGTCAGCCTGCACCACTCTACACACAGGCAGGGGCCCTCCTCCCCTGATCCCACAGTGCCCTGCCATCTCCTCACTGGCGACCTTGGGGGCTGCTCCCCTCAGTCCTCAGTTTGTGATGAGGCAGCTTCCAGCACAGCCCCAAAACACACCAGGTTCCCAGCAAAGGGGGGGCTATTCTAAGCGGGTCCAGACTCCCTCTCATGGAAAACCCTCTCAGATCAGCACAGACAGAGGGAGCTGATCCCAAATGACACACATCGACCAGGGACAAATGTTGGAGGTACTTCTTCTGGGGGAGGCGCAGGGAAACCACCAGTTTGGGGCACCAGTAACATCCCGGCAAGGAACATCAACGTATAGACAAGAAGCATATAGACCAGAAGCACCTCCAGGTTGCTGTTCCCATCTAGAGTCACAGAGCAAGAGACCCCTGGACAGAGGCCAGGCTCCACCCCATGCCCGCAGGGGACAGACCCGGAGACAGAACTGCTTGCCTCTCCTTAAAGGGAATGGGAACGAACAAGCTCCAAGAGTCACATGCGCCCGAGATGCCCCAGCCAAATCAGCAGGCTCTGGCTGCTGAGATCTAACTCAAACCCAGTCTGCGGCAGCACCCCTGCTCCATCCGCCAGCCTGCACAGGCAGCGCTGGGAGGCAGCACCTGAGGGTGCTCGGGTCGGTGGGCAAGAGCAGGAAGACTGCTCACCAGAATCAAGAGTCATCTTCCCTTTCAGGACCTCTCTTTCCTCTGTCTTCCCTTGCAGCAGGAATGCCCAGCACACCCCAGGACCCCCAGATCACAGCCCTCTGCCCCACCCACCGCCTTTCCCGTACCATCAGAACCTGCAGGGCCATGAAGAAGGGGAGCTGTTCAGTCCCTCCTAAGGACCTCACACAATGCCACTGACCCCTGCCTTGAAAAGCCACATCTCCAAGGCAGAACCAAGAGGTGGTGGAGAGGCAGGTCTCTGGAGCTCTTTGTCTTGGGAGAAAGACTGACGACAGGTCGACACCCACCGAATCAGCCAGGCTTGCACACACATGCAGGCCACCCTGTAGGGGCCCGAGGATATAGCAACTGAATCCCATTTCTGAACCAAAAATACAAGCGCCCTGCAGTGTGGCCAGCGGCCCTAGAACACAGCTTGCCCCAGCTAGCCCCAGCCCCGTGTCAGGCCCGGACTGGATGGCCAGCTAACTTTACAGGCCAACGAAGTACATTTACACCACCAGCCAGCACTCTCCCAGACTGGCTCACGCCTGACAGCTGCCCTCCTCCAAGGAGGGAGGCTTATAAACACCCCCTGGACAGGCATGGCCTCTGCTTCCAAGGCTGGCCCAGGACAGCTAGGGTGGCTGTTTATATAATCTTCCAGGGCTGGGGCTGACACCACGGAGATGGCAGGATCATGAAAAATGCATACCCAGAGCCTCTGCAGCCAAGAAAACCCCCACCCGCATTCTGCATGACTCGGTTTTAAGACCTCTCACACGTCCATTTTGTGAACAAATAGAGTTCTCCGAACAGCAGAGGCGACTAACCACACTTCCAGGCCTTGTCCAGCCGGCCCCAGAGCTCTACCAGGCACCACCCCTGGGTCACAGGCCCAGGGTCAGAAGCAGTTTCTGCAGGTATCCCTGCTGGGGCAGCCACAGCTTGCCGGACACAGTAAAGTACTAATTTATGGGCAGCTCAGAGCCCCCAAACCACTCTATAACTGCACACACCGGGCCTTGAAGCCTCCATACTGTTTTGCAAAGACACAACAGTCCAGACTCCCTGGGTCATTAAAGTAGGTCATCAGGACTGGAGAAGCAGCAGCCTAAGAGACACAGCCTCCGAGGCCCACTCTCCAGGGCCCTCTCTATGCCCACAGCGCGCACACTTACACCAAAAGCACACCAGAGGCCTGCCCTCGCCACCAGCTGACTCACAAACCGCAACCTGCGCACGGACACAGCCGGGCCGCACATACAGTCCGCACACCTGGTACGCATCCTGCCGGCCACCCACACAGAGGGCGACGCACATGGAGCTCCGTCGCCCCCAGGGCTTCTTAAGGCCAGGCGCAGGAGCAAGGACGGGCCCAAGGACAACTCGCGCAAAGACCCTGCGGAAAGCCCCCTGCGTGCTGGGGCGCCCTCACCTGAAGCTCACACCAGGCCACCTCCACCCAGGTCTCCGTGTCCAGCCCCTTGTAGACCGTCTTGAAGGAACCGCGGCCCAGCTCGATGTCGAACTTGAGGAAGCGGCCGTCCAGAGAGGTGGCCACAGCCTTGAGATCGTCCTCGTCGTCCTCCTCCTCTTCGGGCTCGTCCCGGCGTGTGCGCCCGGGCTCAGGCTTCGCCTCGGCCGCCCCCTCATCCTCCTTCCTCACGGTCGCCGCCGCCTCCTCCCTGGG